ACGATCAGTGGCAGTACTCGAGGATGTGATAAGTTTCCCAGTTGGCAACGGTTCTCTGTATAAAACAACACGTATCTTTTGACGAGGCTCTAAGGTGTCGATTGTGGCTCACCGCTGAACATGACCGTTACCTCTTGTCACGTTCCGTCTACCCAACAAGGTTCTCCAGACAGAGTGAATAATCCAAAGCACCAACGACCGGCTCATCTGGAACATCGCTGTAGTTGATGCTCCATTACACAAAGGTTATAGTACACCTTCGAATAAGACCTACTCTGAACAGGACGAGACGAGTAGTACAACAACCCACAACGCATAAAACCGTGAAGTTTGTTTCTTCAGCGAATCCATACTTAAAGCATTCCTCTATTACTGTAAACTATTCTATACCGTAAAGACCGTGCTTCCCCTAACCATCCTCCATTTTAACCACATCCCGTTGCACATTTACGTTACCATCAGGGTTCTTCAAATAGTCTTACAAACATTATTGCCTTGGAAATCCTAATCCTATCATCTCGGGTCCTGCCTCGACTAGAACCCAAGTCTCGCTGGATCCTTCTTCAACAGTTGACGCTTTTCTTCGCCCTCGAGACCCTTTAACGTGCGTAATCTGAAACGCATAGGACAAAGGATGCGTTTATTCCATACCCTCAGAATATTAGCCATTTGTGTGTTGTACACAACAGGCGTCCGTTCAATACTCCAGTTCTACAATCCGAATGATGTCCCCATTAAACAAATCGGTTGCACTACAGCGTTTCTCAGGACCCTGAGGCTGCGAATTCTAGTCTTACTGGCGTTGATGTGGCTCTCAGCGGGACAGCTGAAGATGCGCTGTTAGACTGGATTTTAAGCAACAGTCGCTTGTGAGCAGTGAGATTTGGAGGTTCGTGCAAAGTGAGAAGTTGTCGCTCCGAGAGACGCGACCTGTTTCGTGTCCAAGCGTAGGCACCCACGGATCGCAGACAGTCAAATATATCTTGTACCGAAAACCACAATACCTGGCCACCGCCTATACCTTAAATGAATCAGTTGCCAACATGCCAATTAGCAGACACCGAGAAATCTAGTGGACTCAACGCTCAAAAGAGATGGAACATGCTACCATCATCGAAAATTCCTGTAGGCTATTACATCTCAGTTGAGCCACCGGTAAGAAAGCTTTGGGTCTCAGCGAACTGATATATGAAGCTGACGGCTCGCTTATTCACAATCAACAGCGACGTTTTGCACACTGGGTGGTTACTNTACTTTGAAACAGTTTAGCTGGGTAGCAACGTCAGCTACACATTCAGCGATTTCGGCACACGTCCCGTAGTCTATCTTGACAAGCTCACCTCCTGAGGCAGATATCCGTGAGCAGATCCAAACTCTGGGTATATATATATATATATCATTAAGTGGGCTTGTCGAGACGTGTGCCGAAATCGCTGAATGTGTAGCTGACGTTGCTAATCAGCTGAACTGCTTCAAAGTAACCACCCAGTGTGCAAAACGTTACTGTTGATTGTGAATAAGCGAGCCGTCAGCTTCATATATCAGTTCGCTCATAATAAAAGCCTTCTTCCCGGTGACTCGAAAGAGAGCTAAGTAAAACGACTGACCAAATTCTTCACTGTTTAGTGAGGTACGGTTGTAAGCGAAATCAACCACCAAGGTGCAACGAAAACAGATCACAAGTGTTTACGATCTATCCAGAATAGAGGAGCGGGGGGAAACAAAACGAGGGTGAGTAAGGGGATGATTTACAAAGATCAAAGATTTATTATAGGAATAACCCACAGGCTCATGCTTTTCTCGTCCCATAGGTTCGTGTGATGGTTAAAAAACTGATACATACAATTCCTTGTGTAAAATGCCACGTGATACGTGCTTCTTCTACTGCTGCATGCAGCTTCACTTATGTTGGAATGTAAGGTGTGCTGTTTCATCGAGTCTCAGTTTGAAAGATTCAATGCTTGCAGCACAGACGACGTAGGATGGGAGAAAGTTCCAGATCGAACACACTCTCACTGCAAATGACTGACGCCGGCATTCCAAGCGACATTTTGAGACCACTAGTTTGAATGGATGTCCTCTAAGATGAAAGTTGGGTGATAACTTCAGAAGCGAGCGACACGGATGGCTTGGGTTTTGCATTATTTGGTACACCATAATCATATCTCCTCTGATGCGCCGGTGGTGATTGGAATATAACCCCAGTGACTTCAATCTTTCTGCGTATGAATACCGATTCAACCCCCTGACCATTTTGGTGGCCATCCTTTGCGGACGCTCCAGCATTTTGCAATCACGTGTCTGGATAACGTACTCTGTGAGTGGTCGAATGTATGCTGATAGTAGGCGGGGGAATAAAGCTGACTCAAACCGGCCGAAGACCCGCTTAAGGAAGCCGACATTCTTTACAGCTGCGTTGGACACCTTGGTGCAGTTGAGTGAGCAGCTTAAGTTTACTTGAGTGATGATGCCCAGGTCCTTCTAACTTACGGAGTGTGGCAGTTGTTCATTTCCGAGGAAATACGAAAATCACCTTGTGTCGAGGAGATACAACCTTACACTTTGGCAAATTGAATTCAATATCGTTCATAATGGACCACAAATGAGCTGCTTTCAACGTTTCCTGGAGTGTCAGTGAGCCCGCTGGTTGCGTTACTGCATTCCAAAGTTTGGCATCATCTGCAAAAAGTAATGATTTTGGCCCCAGTGTCTTCGGTAGGTCGTTTATAAATGTTAGGAAAAGTCGCGGGCCAAGCACCGATCCTTTTGGAACCCCACGAGTAACGTCCATAGGACTGGAAAGCGAATCAGAAACGCGAACCGATACGGTCTGATGTCGGAGAAATGCTTTGATGCAACCAAGCACGAGGCCCGGAAAACCGCGTTTCCGCAGTAGAATGTCGTAGTTCGCCCGATCGAGCGCTTTTGAGAAGTCTACATAAATAACGTCTACCGCGTCGCCGTCATCAACTGCTTTTGTCCATTCTCGTGCGATCAGCAAGTTGGTAGCGTAGGATCGATTCTGTCGGAATCTATATTGATTTGATGACAAAACGTTGTGCTTCTCTAGGTGTTCCATCAGGGAATCCGCTACTANAGGGCGGTGGTTAGCGGGATCGCTACGGCAACCGCTTTTGTAAATGGGTGAAATTACTCCCTGCTTCCACGACGGTGGGATTGCAGTGTGATCGAACATCCTCTGAAGTAGGAAAGCAAGTGGCTCGGCAATTTGATTTGCCAAGCAGATAAGGGTTTGCGGGTGAATATTGTCTGCCCCTGGCGATGAACTATTCCTCAAAGACAATAGATCTGATTTCACCTTTTCGGTAGTGAATGATACGCTGGTTAGTGAAGGATGTGGAATTTGATGCATCTAGCATGGGAGCTACAGTCGTTCGTTAGTTGACGCAGCAGAGCTTAGGCATACTGGTTCTTCAGCATTTCAGCGGCTTCCACTGTGTTGGCTATGGCTCTTACAGAAGAACTGAGCACCGGTATTCCATGTTTAACTTTTCGAGCTGAGTTAACATGTTTGTCCAAAAGCTTGGGGTTTGAAATAAGTCTTTGTGCTAGAGATTCTTGATGGTTTAGTTTTTCTTCG